CTGGCTGCAACGCGTGAAAAAAGACCCGCGGCTGTGATTATATATACAATAGTGCAAACTGGACCTAAAATTCTATATTTTTCAAAAAATATGCTACGTATTATTGTTATTGTTATATACTATTATTGTCTATTGTCGGTTGGGGGGTTTCGCGGTCTTTTGAAGATTGTGAATCTCCCGAGATTCAGACCGGGATTCACCTCCACAGGAGTTCGCTCCAAGCTTGACGAAGTTTGTTCCAACATCGCCCTGATTTCGAGAAAAGTCACCATTGTCCACGAAACGCTCGTTTAGTTCCCTGGGCAACAGGCAGAACAAATGTAAATACACATTACCATGGCTGTCATGGATAGCTGGGTAGCTTGGGACCATCCTCGGCGATGCAGCCCCTGTCCCCTTTGGTGACAATACCAGTTCATGTTGATTTGGCTAGTTCCTTGCCTTAAACTATGCCGTAGAGTGTGAGAGGACACATCATTGCCTGAACTCTTGGTATATAACACAGGCTGTTAGCATACGCATGGGCATGGACGATGCCTTTACAGTAAGATATATATATATATATTTGTTGGTTGGATCCTAAGCCTAAGATTTTGGTTGAGTGCTTCATATTTTTGGCAAGCAGAGGACCTGCAGTCAAGGAGGAAAAGTTCCAGCTCTTCAGACGACTGGTTGAAGAAACAGAGTTGGACCCAGAAGCTGCGGGTACTTTGTGAAGATGTTTTTGGAGTGACTTCCTTCCGCACAAATCAGGACTGTAAGTTCTTTCAAAATTGCACAAGAACCTTCCGGCCTTCCGGCTTGCTGCTTTCCAGTTTTTGGCGTGTCCTGCTCCTTCGTCCTAGACGATGTCCATATTTCGTTCTAGACGATGTCCATCTAGATGAGGTCCATTTTTGGAATGAGATGAGCAATGATGATTTGCGATTTCACACTTAACCTTCTTTGCAGGAAGAAGCCCTCAATGCTTTGATGGCTAAGCGGGATGTGTTTTTGGTGGCACCCACTGGAGCGGGGAAGTCTCTTTGCTTCCAAGCGCCATCAATTCTCACAGGCAACTTGACGCTGGTGTGGCCCTTGGATTTAGCATTGGGTCCAAACATAGGAGTCACATTGACGCGTCCTCCAGTTGCAAATCCAATTGGCGTGTTTGTTGCCGGCGGGATGAGTAATCCAGTGATGCCAGGGGACCGTTGGGCGAGTCTTCCAGTTGACCGTCGGTGCCATCGCTAGTCGGGGGAGGCCATCGCTAGTAAGCTAGTAGCCCAAAATGCTCGTAGTTTGCGCCGAGGTCGTGAGCCCCTTGCTGTCACTGATGCAGGCCGGGGTAGGCGGCTGACCCACGAAATGAAAACCAATACAACTGTAGCCTTTGGGTGAGGGTCGTTGGAGGAGAAAGGGCCCATGTTCATGATTGTGGTGTGGCCCCGACAGTTGGATCACTGTTGGAAAGCTAGAACCTGAACTGAAGAGGTGGATCGAAAAGGAATTGGAGGGAATGTGCATGTGTTTGCTTCTTAATTTCAAAATTTCAACCATTGCGTTGTGTCATTGTGAGTCAGAGTCCTGGAGTACATCTATATAGAATCCCCTCATTTGACCAGCTTTGATCGTGCTTTTTCTTGCAGATATTATGAGGACCAGGTGATGTCTTTGCGGGCCCTGGGCATTGGTGCTGCTATGCTCTCGAGCAATGATTCCAGGGAGGCCTGAGAACTGTTTGGACATGATCCCTGCTGACTCTGGCTGGTCACACGCCAGTTATATCATGTTATATCATAGTGATAGAATTTGATAATAGCCCATACATGTACACACCATTCGATGCAGATTGTTTGTTTACATGTTATATGTTTGTATATTATAGTTTCTATTCTCGGTCGGCGCTCGACAGGAGCAGACCAGGATCCGCAAAGCCATGAGCAAGCTAACTGCTGCAAAAAGCAGTTCTGACACAGGCGAGTTGCGGCTGCTGTACTTGACGCCAGAGAGGCTGGCAAAAAGCAAGCTGGCAACTTGGCAAGGCGCTTACGTCTTCTTAGGAACATGTTGCAGCTGACTTTGGAGTTGCCTAAGCAACCATGCAACCAGGCCCACATGGAGCAGGTGCGACCATGTGGTCCCAGTCGGTGGTGTTTTTACGTACACCCGGGCCCCTAGTAGCGTCCTTGTTCCTAGTAGCGATGCCAGGAGCCCCTAGTAGCGCCCTTGTTCCTAACGTGGACTTGGTCCACTGGCTCAGGTCATGAACCTGCTGGAGAAGATCTACGCCTCTGGGCGTTTGGGCCTCATTGCCATCGATGAGGCTCATTGCATCTCCCAGTGGGGTCATGACTTTCGGCAGGTGCCCCGAACGGCTATGCGGATGCTTGTGACAAAGTGCGCCACAGTGTAGCCTTGGCAATTGATGTGCAGATAGTATCAGATGTTGCAGGGCATCAACGGCAGGCGTTTAGACGGAGGTTTGTCTATTGTTGTAGTTTCGAGTCGTATCTATTTTGGTTCTCCTCCATTGTCATCCTTGTCTTCCCGAGATCGAGAGGGTCGCTGGCCAGTGTTGAGTTTCACAGATTGTCCACTCGCCTCCACCGAGAATCACAAATATCTTCTTTGACTTGAGCATGGCACTGCGATATGCCGGAGTTGTTAAAAGGTTTCTTTAGTCCGTACGCACCTCTTACGAATCGCTTGGAACGTTTTTGTCCTGCAGGACTACGAAAGACTTGCGGCTTTACGCATTCAGTCCCTTGTCGTTGCGCAGCTTTTTTCTGGCCCTGGCTGAGCTATGTCACATAAATCACTACATCAATGTGCTTCTGACTTAATTTAATACATGGCGTGGAACACTTGCCCTGCAAGGTTTCCCAAAACACCCATTCTGGCGCTTACTGCAACAGCCGGACTCTCAGCAGAGATGGTTTTGGCAGGTGTGCCATGATGTCATAAGTGGTATATAATTTGACGTGTATTTTTAGGGTGCTATTGCAGGAGGATTTTGTTGCCATCGTTGAGATTCACAGCCACAGGGATTGGCCGAAGAAGGTGGAACGTAGTTGACTCCACAGCGCACTATAACAAGAGCCAATGTAAGAGGCCCTCGCAAATGTGTGGGTTTGTTGGGTCAGGCCACACGTTTTCCAACTAATAATGCTCCTGTTAGTGCAAAGATTGATAATGGCGAAGTGCAAGGATAGCGTCACGACATGTCCCTTTTTGCACTTAACCCCTGACCATAGCGGCGGGGCTCGAGCAGCGAAGCCAAAGAGGTTGGCGCGCGATCGCGCGAGGGTCCTACGTGGACCGCGTTCGTCCTTGCATAGGACTGTTTGCATGGTAGTCGGAGCTGCTGGCGGCGATCACTGAGGACCTGGCGGTGACGACTGGTGGAAGGGGGTGAGATGCCCTCAGAAGAGATCCCAAGCTGGGATGGGGACCCCGCATCCTTCGAGGCCTTCGCGACCTCATGCAAGTGGTTCGAATACAGCCTCAAGGATGCGGAGAAGAAGCTGGCAGCACCCCGGGTCTGGCAGAAGCTGTCAGGAGTGGCGAAGAGCGTGGTTTGGCATCTGGAGCCCAAGGACTTCAGCTCCGAGAATGGCGTGGAGAAGCTCTTGTCCGTGCTTCGCGAAAGCCCACTCCAGAAGCTTCCGATCCCGGACAGCTTCTCAAGGCTGGAAAAGTGGTCGAGCTTGAAGCGGACCTCCCATGAGACGATCCCTCAACTTCTGGTCAGGGAGGAGGAGCTGTTCGTGGAGCTTCAACAAGCGCTTCAACGAGCTCGGCATGAAAGAGCCCGACATGAAGTCAGGTCCATGGGAGTTGGTGCCAGCGAGCATGATCCACCTACCTCGCCAACAAGGTCGTGACCAGGGCCGGACTGGGCTCAGTCCGAGAAGATGTGATCTTCGAGGATGACGACCCCCCGGTGATGAGGCCTACAACGACTTCGGCGTCTACCGGCGAGGCTGCGGGCTTCTTCGAGCATGAGCTCAGGGGGTATCGCCTCCTGAAGGCGGCGAAGTTGAGCCAGGCTGAACGACAGCACGTCCTGACTTTGACTCGGAACTCCACGCACTTCAACCAGATGAGGCAGGCCTTGAGGTCTTTGTTTGCTGATGGTGCGGATCAAGCCGATGATCATGGACGGCTGCCTCGAAGAACGGCTTGGTTGGACCATGCTTCATCTGCGGTCAACATGGCCATGGCTATGCCAAATGCCCTGACAGGTGGTCTCGCGGGTCTTCATCCGGGAGAACGTCACCGACATCCTCACCGAAGGGATCCATGAAGGGATTCAAAGGAAAAGGCAAAGGCAGTGGCAAGACTCGGAAGGGAGGAAAAGCCTTTTGGGTCGACCTCAACTCCGAGTACCTGTACTACGAGGTCAATGTCATGAGCTTGGCGGAGGACACGAACCTTGGAGAGCTGTCGCTGACCAAGGCAATCATCGACGCTGGAGCAACGGAATCTGTGGCTGGGATTCGTTCCATGTCCCGGCTGATCGACTCAGGTCACTTCCTCTACGACATCTGCTGGACACGAGACCAAGGTTCCGATTCGATCGGCAATGGTGAGCATCAGCGAGCGGTGTCCAAGTGCCACGTGACAACGAATGCCATGGGCGGCATGGACTCCTACCTGCTCGATGGAGGTGCTGAAGACACGCCCTTGCTGATCGGCTCCAGGATTCTCCGGGCCCGAAGAGCGATGGTGTCTTACCATGGGGACTACTTGCCCGCCCCTTGGCTAGCTTTGACTTATAACCTAGGTTATA